AGTCATCTTGCTGTTATCGATGTCCAGGATCATTTTGTTGTTGTCCACAGTGGCAGAAATGATCTGCAGAAGAGGAGGGCGGAGAGAAATCTTTCTGTGTCCTAGATTTCCAGGACAAGAACAAAGAAGACCCAGAGCTTTGGCAGGGTGTTGTTGTGGGTCTTGGAATTGTTTCCTGCAGTAGTGCAGGGGCCACAGAACGTTGTTGAAATGCTCTATGACAGGGACTAGTGTGTGAAGATTTTGGCTTTGCAAACGTTCTGATGAAAGAGTATATTGATGGAGGAAAGAACAGAAGAACAGTTATGCTGGGAGATCACCCACCCCAAGTGGGTTCTGCACTCTGGGTGTAGGAGGCAGTGTAGGCTTTGCCCCTGATGCTGTAACTCATCTCATTATGAAAAAAGATGATTGTGAGGGAAGACCTTGGTCCTCCACCTGGTGTCTGTAGGAGTGTGCAGGGACAAAGGGAGCTCAGATCCTGCCATCCAGGTGCTGTGGCTTTGCACTCCATCCAGCTGAACCGGGTGGGAGCAGAGGGAAGCACTGGAAACCACCCACGACTGCTTTGGAGACACCTGCACAGCGTGGGATTTCCGTGTGCCAGCGCGTCTGGGGCTGCTGGAGCTCCCTGGGGCCTCAGGCTGTGCTTCTGGAGCACGTCCCTTTTGCCTGTGTGTGCTGTGGGGGTTTGCTCACCCAAGGGATGGGAGGAGCAGCTCAGTGGGTTTATGTCTGCAGTACCACCAGAATGGCCATCCCGCAGGGGGTGGAGCCCAGGGCCAGGGGAAAGAGCGAGGAGGACAGAGGAAGGAGGAAGACCTCACAGGAGAGAAGAGCATGTGGTGATGGAGCCACGCTAGCTGGGGCCATCCTACCTGATTCTGGAGTTGTTCAATGGTCTGGTAGTAGGAGCTGTAGTCCTTGGAAACGCTGGGAGCTTGTTTCCTGTACCACTCGCGGATGTGGTGCTCGAACTGAGCGTTCTCCTCCTCCAGCCTTCGCACCTTGTCCAGGTAACTGGCCAGGCGGTCGTTGAGGTTCTGCATGGTGACCTTCTCATTGCCGCCCAGGAGCAGGTCCCCCCCCGCACCGAAGCCCCCCGAAAAGCCCCCCCCGTAGCCCCAACCAGGCCGGCCCCGCTCAGGCCGCCCCCGTAGCCCCCGCACGCTGCCCCGCCGTAGCTGCCCCCGCCGACCACGGAGGAGGCGTAGCGCCGGCAGGACACCGAGGAGCTCCGGCCGCTGCTGCCTCCACAGCCGCCTCCTCCTCCTCCTCCTCCGCTCCGGCATGAGGTGCTGGATGTTCTCTTGATGCTGCAGCTCATGGTGGAAGGGATCAGATATCCAGCCCCAGAAGCAAAGCTGTGCACAGCGAGAGACAGGGAAGGCAAGTGCAGTGGGGCGTCCTTGCCGGTGGCTCTTTATACCTGGCTGGGTGGGTGTCACCTGCCAGGCAGTCCAGCTTCCCATGGGCTTTGCCAGCCCCAGTGCTTACACTGGAAGTGATGTGCTAAGGGGAATTTCTTTTGGGGCTTGGGTCAGCCCTCCCCCCAGGTACTGTGTTTGCATGCTGATTCACACCAAGCCTGCACTGCAATTTCGGGTGGGTGGCTGTGAGTTAGATTTTGTTGCAGATAGATTGTTGCTGGCTACTTAATGAGTGAGACTCATTTTAATAGTTGTTCTTTGTTCTTTGGAGTAATTTTTTTTGTCCTCAAAACAGGTGGTGAAAGCACCACCTGGTTACTCTGCTTTAATGTCAGAGTTGGAGAAGAATGAACTCAGGCACCCCGTGCGTGAGGCTGGTTCCAGTTTTCCTGTTGAACTGCCAGTTCTGGAAACAAAATCTCTAAGCATTTTGGTCCTTCTCTCCAAAGGAGAGCTCAGCATGAGTACTGTCTCTCAGGGTACTCAGTGGTAAATCACAGTAGAGTGACCTTAGAAGCAGCAATGCTCTTTGTGTTCTCACCAGACTCGGGTGGTGCCATTTCTGGGAAACCCTCGTCTCACGCACAGTGATGGGCATTCGATGATGTCATTTTAAAGCTGTGATTTTTTAACATTTTGTGCAAATTTCCAATCACTCAGAGACTACTTTAAACTGAAATAGGTGTGTAAAATCTATAGGGCTTTACTGGCTGTGTGCTGGGAGAGGATTCATCTTGGCCAGGTGGAGGCTGAGATGATTATCAGCCAGCTCTTGAGGAAGGAGGTACTGGGGCCGTTTGAAATCCAGGACAGTCCTGTTGTCCACGTAGGAAAGGGCACAGTCTGGATTTGAGTGAGTCTGGCCTGAAAACTAAGAGGAGCTTTTTACCTACAGAAGGCAGAAGGGTCAGGAAGTGCTTCTATTGCAGGAGCTTTGGGTGGAGGAGAGAAGGAGTTTCAAGATTGACCTTGGTCAGTTGATGGTGGGCATTTTATCCTTGTGTAACAGAGGCAGCTGCGATGACCCTCTAGACCCTCCTTACCTTGAGTCTTTTGTCCCTCAGTGCTGCACAACTGCACCGTTCCCGTGAGGGGGCAGGGTGTGCTGAACCCTTCTTGGGAGGAGTTCTCCAAATGGTTTCTCCATTTACAGTGTTACACACCCCCTGCACTTGTGTCTCCAGCAGCATTTTCTCTCCTACCACAGCGTTTATGAGACCCATGGAAGTTACTAATGTGTGTCATGGCCAACTGAAGAATCATGGAAAGCCATTCGCCCTCTTTCTTGACACACCACCACCCCTGGATCACAGATAATGTAATCCTTTGATCTGCATAATTATGATTGTTGTTTTATTGGTATCTCTCTAATTATCTGCACGTCAGAACCAGTTGCTTTGCATATGTTATTGCGACTGAGTCATCATTATTAAAAAATAAAAATTATTTTCTCACAGGGTGTGATTCCTTAGTCATATTTTCCTCATTAGATTGTTGAAATGCACTTTTATTCTCCCCTATGAGGTATTTATTGCTGACTGGCCTTAGTGCCAGAGGTGTTGACTTTGTATCTCCTTCTCGGCACCGTTTCATCACAACAATTCCTGACATTTCCCAATGCTGTAATTTCATACCATCACCAGGAGCCTTTTCTCTGTCCCTCTGTCCCTCTCTTCTCGTTTCAAACAGCTGATCTAGCCATCCTTATTGCTGTAGCTGCATCCCAAACACTTAAACTTCAGACCTTCTGTTCTGTAACTCGGGGGCATTTCCTTGTCTCCCTGTGCATTTCTTGTCACCATCCTGTGGACACGGCTCTTGGCTGGAGTTGGCTGTTGTGAGTCAGTTTGGACACACTGATTTACATCACCAGCCAGAAGAGCCGGGGCTGTTCAGGTCCTCCCACAGTCCCTGCAAGGACAAAGGCAGCTCAGACGTTCTGCTGTAGAAGGTGTTGAGGCTCCTCAACCCTCCAGAGGGGCTGTGAGAGCTTTGAAATCACATCTTCCCCTGGCAGGCCTTTGGCTCACAATGCACCCCATGGACCTCTGTAAGTCAGAGGTTTGGTTGAAGTGGGAGTGCTGTGGATCCTTTCCTGGTGCTGTTTACTCACTGGTGAAATTGGATGTGGAGCCACAAGCAGATACTCTGAACTGGCAAAGGAACTAAAAGCAGTCTGTGGTTTCCCCAGAAGCTGTGATGCATTACTGGATGTGTGTCTTCAGTCACACGAGAGGGAGAGGACAACCTCAGAAACAATTACTGGTAATTAATTGTTTTACAGCAAATGAGTCAACTGTGGTCTTGGTAAGAAGAGTGCTACTCCCAGGAGTTTCATCAGGAACTCCATCTGTGCTTTCCTCATCCATCACCCCTCTCCCTGCAGCATTGCTCAGGGATGTGTTTCTTCAGTTCATCCAGAGCTGAATGGTTTCCACAGACCCACATTCTGGGCTCATTTTTCTCTTATGTGACTCCTGTCACATGAGAGCTTACCTGTATGCATTCAGTGCTTACTTATACACATTAACTGTAGTTCAAGGCTACATAATCCTGCCTCAAAAGAGATGTGTCCCTCACCAGCTTTGGTACAGGAAGTGCAGTTGAGACTTGAGTGAGTTCTGGCAGCCTTTGGAGACCAAAGTCATATTTGCATTTGCTTTACATCACTTTATATACTGGGTATTAAATCAGTATTTAAATTGAAATTTCTATCATAAAATATAGGAATGTTTTTGGTGCATGACACTAAAGGAAACAGGCCCATTGCATTGTTGTCTGTATTTCCCAACAGAAGGCAGCAATATGTGATTGTCTGCACAGTCAGAGGTGTAGAAATACTTGTGAGGAAGCCCCTACATACTGGAACAACCTCTCCTGAGTCACACCTTCCCATAGGACTCCAGCTGGGATGAGACTGATGGACTCAGATATCTGCCACAATAGTACCATTGAACACAGTTTAGTACATTAACAGTTAATTAAAGAATCTTCTGAGTTCCCCAACGTTGGTATTTTCTTTCTCCTTTCACTCACATCATTCATTCAACCTTATACCTCCTGCTTTTGAGCAGAGTTGTGACAGTGTCACCTGGCAGTTCCCTCAGGCAGAGCCTGGATCTGTCACACCTCACACAGCCACGCTCACAATTCCTGACATTTCCCTTTGCTTGGAGATTTTATCTCAGCACCGTGACCATTTCCTTAGTGCAAAATGGATTGTCCCGGGATCGAGTCACCCAGAACCACCGCACAGCCCGTGTTTGAGGGGTGAGCTGGGGGAGGACCCACCCCGGGTTGGTTGAATTCACTTTCTCAGACACGTGGTTGTGATTTGCGTTGCAGAAGTAAAGGTTTATTAGAGAAGAGTTTCGAGCAGAGTGTGAGCCCTTAAACAAAGAAGCAGTTGCCACAGACAAGGTGAGTAAGCCAAGCACTGCAGGGCGGGGGACGGGGGGCTGGGGCAGGTGAGCAGGCTCCGGTCCCGAGCCCTTCCCTCTGCCCCGGCCGTGCTGCACAAGTGCCGGGCTCCGTCTCTCGCTGGACGCTGTCGGGGTCGCTGCCGCTGCTCTAACACACTCTTGACTGCCCTGTGTGAACACCGAGCAAATCATCGCCTTGAGAGGAAATCTGAGCATTCCTGCTGAGGGGATCCTCACACCTGACACTGTGTCAGCAGCACAGGGGCAGAGGCTCCGTGCCAGCAGTGCCCTGGGCACTTTCTCAGAACTGTATTTTTTTATTATTCCGATGAGCAAAAAAGCATAACCCATCTCGTAAAGTTTATGGTCCACATTTTATAATTAGGTAATTATACTTGCTGTATTTTAATGCTTGATTCCTCTGTGACAGAGTACTGAGGTTCTCTCACTCCCAGGTTAATGGATCTGGGAATCTTGCCCAGCCTAAACTACAAATCTTTTTTCTTACAAACTACATTGCAGCCATTGGGGCAGATGTAACCCACTAATAACCACATCCTTACAAAGCGTTGTCTTACCTGCCATGTCCCCACACTGGGAATGGGAGTAGGAAGCAGAATATGACTGGGAGGATTTTCCACCTCCTTGGAAGGCACCTTGGGAGGCACTGCAAAAGGAGAGTAATCAATTCAGAAAAACCCAGTAACACCGGATATTCAGTCAAAAAAGATGTCGATGCTCCAGGGACAAGAAGTCTCTGTTGGCAAATAAGTACACAAGGATTTCTTGCTATTCCCTTGCTACAATATGGAATACATACACAAGGTCCTGCTGGCCCTCCTGCAGCAGCGCCCGGTACTGCTGGATCTCCTGCTCCAGGCGGGTCTTGATGCCCAGCAGCATCTTGTACTCCTGGCTCTGACCCTCCATCTCACAGCGGATGCTGGCCAGCTCCTCCTCCACAGAGTGGATCTGCGCCTGGATCTGTTGCAGCAGGCAGCCGTAGCGAGTCTCGGTTTCTGCCAAGGAGTTCTCCAGAGAGTTTTTCTGGGAGGGCAAAGACAGGAGTTGAGGAGGGGAGCTGTGGTGCTCTGTGCCCAGCCCCAGCAGGGCAGGCCCAGCCCCTGCCCACGTACCGTGCTGAGCTGCGCCTGCAGCTCGATCTCCAGGTTCTGCATCTCGCGCCGCAGCTCCGTGAGCTGGTGGCTGCTGCTCTGCATGTCCTGGCTGCTGGAGGTGACCTGGCGATTGACTTCTTCGATCTGCGGGGGCAAAGCCAGGGACACGTTCAGAGCCACAGCATCCCCTGGGGGAGCAGGTTTGCTGAGGGAGAGCTCAGCTCTGCAGGGAGCCTCTCCCTTTCATCCTGTCCCGGTGCCCGCGGGCCTGGGCTGTGCCACCGGAGGGGACTCCTCTCTGGGCATTGCCACCTACCTTGACTTCATACCACTGCTCCACCTCCCTGCGGTTCCTGTCGATGATCTGCTCGTATTCACTTCTCAGGTCATTCAGGATCTTTGTCAAGTCCTCTCCAGGGGCAGCATTGACCTCCACACTCACATCCCCACCAGTCTGAGACTGGAGCAGCCTCATTTCCTGCAGGGAGTCCAGACAGAGACACAAGAGCACACACAGGTCATTTCTTGTGCTGGAGACTGTGGGCAAAGTGGTATCAAGGTAAAAAAGGAGCAACAATCCCTTGGCCTAAGGTGGAATTGCCTCCATGTGTGAGGGTGGGAAGCTGAAGAATCCAAGGGTGGTGCCTTGGCTGTGCTGTTTGGATCGTACCTCCTCATGGTTTCTCTTCAGGGCAATCAGCTCATCCTTCAAGGACTCCAGCTCAGATTCCAGGGAAGATCTAACCAGAGTCAGGTCATCCATGAGATTTCTCAAGCCATTGATGTCAGCCTCCACGGTCTGACGGATGACCAGCTCATTCTCATACCTGTGTCACACAAGAGAGTCAGAGAAATGGGTAAATGAGATGCTGACAGTCACTAGCACACATCCTTCCAAGGCCAGTATCCCAGTAACACTGGAGGAGTCAGTACCACCACCCAGGGCATTGCTGCCTTGTCTCCTGAGATGCTGAGCAGGATTGGACAGGCACACGAGGTTCACAGGGAGGTACTCACTTCATTCGGAAGTCCTCGGCAGTCATCTTGCTGTTGTCGATGTCCAGCAGCAGCCTGTTGTTGTCCACAGTGGCAGAAATGATCTGCAAAACCGGAAGGTAGAAAGAAGCCCCAAAGCTTTGGCAGGGTTTTGTTGTGGGTCTTGGAATTGCTTCCTGCATTAATGCAGGGACCATGTGCGAGGGTGATGCTCCAAATTTACTTTTCAAGGAAACTTGTGCTATCACACATCCTCCCAAATCCCTGCTCTTTACTTCCTCCTCTCCAGTTAGAGACAGTTCCCTGTGTGTCCCAGGGAGTGTGTTCAGCCCTTTCCCTGTATCACGCTTCTTCCTGGTCCATTATTCTATTTTCTTGGTACCATGTAAACCTATCATAAGGCAAGACCTCAGTCCTCCACCTGGTGTCTGTAGGAGTGTGCAGGGACAAAGGGAGCTCAGATCCTGCCATCCAGGTGCTGTGGCTTTGCACTCCATCCAGCTGAACCAGGTGGGAGCAGAGGGAAGCACTGGAAACCACCCATGACTGGTTTGACCCACCTGCACAGCGTGGGATTTCAGGAAAGAGGAAGGAGGGAGGAGGAAGACCTCACAGGAGAGAAGAGCATGTGGTGATGGAGCCACGCTAGCTGGGGCCATCCTACCTGATTCTGGAGTTGTTCAATGGTCTGGTAGTAGGAGCTGTAGTCCTTGGAAACGCTGGGAGCTTGTTTCCTGTACCACTCGCGGATGTGGTGCTCGAACTGAGCGTTCTCCTCCTCCAGCCTTCGCACCTTGTCCAGGTAACTGGCCAGGCGGTCGTTGAGGTTCTGCATGGTGACCTTCTCATTGCCGCCCAGGAGCAGGTCCCCCCCTGCACAGAAGCCCCCCGAAAAAGCCCCCCCCATAGCCCCCAACCAGGCCGGCCCCGCTCAGGCCGCCCCCGTAGCCCCGCCACGCTGCCCCGCCGTAGCTGCGCCGCCGACCACGGAGAGGCGTAGCGCCGCGGACACGAGGAGCTCCGGCCGCTGCTGCCTCCACAACCGGCCTCCTCCTCCTCCTTCTCCGCTCCGGTACGAGGTGCTGGATGTTCTCTTGATGCTGCAGCTCATGGTGGAAGGGATCAGATATCCAGCCCCAGAAGCAAAGCTGTGCACAGCGAGAGACAGGGAAGGCAAGTGCAGTGGGGCGTCCTCGCCGGTGGCTCTTTATACCTGGCTGGGTGGGTGTCACCTGCCAGGTAGTCCAGCTTCCCATGGGCTTTGCCAGCCCCAGTGCTTGTGCCAAAAAATGATGTGCTAAGGGAATCTAGTCTGAGGTAAGTAAAAGGCATTACCATTCGGTGCAAGTATGTCTGTGTTGATTCACATCAAGCTGCACTATAATTTTATGTGGGTGGCTCCTCGTTGGATATTTTGTTGAAAAATAGAATATCTCCCAGCATTGTCAATCTGTCAGTGGGAGCTAAAAAAGGCTGTGCCTTGTTGTCTGCCTCCTTCAGCTTTCTGTGTGGTGAAACTCAGTAGTTCAGCTTTGGTCATCCTCCTGGGATCGCAATGTCCAAGGGAGTCTTCATTCTTGATTTATTTCAAATTGCATTAGCTATTTAGAAATCTTCTTTAATTCCCTGAAATAAAAACTTTTAAAACTGCATTCCCATGTCTGTTTTAGAGGAGAACTTCACTGTGAATTTTTCACTCTCTTGTCACTTGTATTGATGAAGGTCCTGCTGGCATTCAGCTTTCTCTGAATGTGCAGGATGGGAATCACAGTCCTTTTTCTTCTTGAAGAAAACCAGGTGACAGCCACAAAAGTAGTATTGTGTGAGGGAAAACATACTAAATCTTTTCCTATCAAAGAGCTCCTAATTTTTTTTAAAGTGTTTTAAATGGACTCAGAGGAAATTGAGAGGAGAAATATTTGACTTTGTGCATTTTCATAACCATATTAAAATAGTCATTTCTCAGAATAAGTCCCTGAATTATATAATATGGTGAAAAAATAATTTTTGATGAAAAGTGCCAAAGATTAGATCTGACAAAATATAATCATTACCTGAGCTTGTTACAGTGAAGGGTGTTTTGCAACATCTTGCACCACACAGCAGAGTCAGAAACACTTGTGTACTTTTTTCCACTGCCTGTGCAATAGGGGATGTGCAGTGAACTGCTTTTTCCACCTTTACTAATCAAGCTGCTGGGAAGCTGAGCAAAGCCTTGCATGGAAACAAACCCTCAGGTTTCCAGCTGTGTGTTAAACGTCGGCTCTGCGGCTCCTGCAGACGAGTCGCTGGGCTGTGAAGGGAAGCACAAGGAGCTGGTGGGGCCTGCTGTGAACTGCTACCTCAAAATCAGGTTATCCACAGAAAGGCAGGATGGGTTCAACCTGGGAGCATTCTAGGAAGAGATTCCATATTACAGGAGAAGAAATAAGCTCCTTCCCCTCTCTGGCTGCGGTTGTGCAGTTGTGTTCACCCTTAGCTCTGTTATCCCATTCTGGGCTGATTTTGTCTGTTGGGTCTCAGAGCTCAGCTCACGAGAGTATCTGGCACATTATTAAAAAACAAAAGCACAGCCCAAGTTGCTCCAAGAAGATTCTGATCTGCCCTGACTGCTCAGAAACTGTGCTTTAACTCTAAATATCATTATCAGCTACTGGAGTGTATCATCAACCTCCCTGCCTGGAGGCATGTCTTGGCATGGCTTTGTGTTTTCTTTTTTAAGTGTTTTCACCCTACAGAGTGGAAGAAAAACCCCACACAGGATTCTGGTTGCATCAGACAGAAATGAAATTTTATTAGAGACATTTTCCTGATTCAGAACAACCCGAGTACCGGCCAGGCTGGGTCTGTGAAGCAGCAGTTGCAGTGCCAGTGACCGGGGCCGTGGAGCATCGCGGGCAGAAGCAGCACAGAGCATGCAGGGCAGGGGAGAGGTGGCATCTGCAACTCCCAGGAACTGCTCAGAGCATCCTCCTTCCTCGGGAGCACGGGGAATGCAGTGGATTCGGGCGTTTCTGTTTGAAGGGTCTTGCACTGGAGGATCCTTGGTGTATATTCTTAATCAAAAGATTTTCTTCCATAGCCTGTTTAGGGGCAAAGCAAGTGTGAAGGTCAGTGCTGGCACTGAACCCCTGAGCCACCAGTGTCCCCCAGACATGAGGATTGTGTGGGAGTGACCAGAAGCATTCCAAAAGCACAAAGGAAAACTCCAGCATGGCACAAAGACCGTGAGATTTATGAGGGCCTGCAAAGAATGAGAGGGATGAAGAAAACCAGCTGGGGTTATTAAATTACAGGGTCAGCTGATGTCACCCACAAAATGGAACAGAGATGGACTTTGCACACAAAGAGGAAAGAATTGCTAACAACAGTGAATCTCACACTTCTCAGAGACTTTAGTTTGTCCTCAGGACTGGCTCTGGAAGAGTATGTTGGTATAAATGAGTGCATAAATGAGTCAGGGTGGGACTGAGAGCACAGTATACCCAAACCACAGTTCTCACCTTGGCTTTCACCACCACTCCTGCAGGACTGGGACTGGGAAGATGAAGAGTAGGAGTGGGAACTGCTGATGCCTCCTGAGGCTCTTCCTCCTCCTCCTCCTCCTCCAATGCTACTGCATCCACCTCCGCTTCCCCCTCCTATTCCTCCACTTCCTCCTCCTATTCCTCCACTTCCTCCTCCAATTCCTCCTCCACCACTTCCTCCTCCGATTCCTCCTCCACCACTTCCTCCTCCAATTCCTCCTCCCATTCCACTGCCACCACCACCATATCCACCACTTATGCTACCACCTCCTCCTCTTCCTCCTCCAGAATAGCCACCACCTCCTATTCTACCACCTCCCATGCCTCCTCCAATTCCTCCTGAAGGGATTCTGCAAAGAGACAGAAAGAAGGGGGGAAAAACAAGTTAATCAAAAGCATTTTGATCTCTGAAGGCAATTGAGGTACAGCTGCTGCCCAGGAGCTGGCACTGCTCTGGGCTGTACCTCTGGTTAGAGCCCAGCACAGCAGCAAGACAACTGAGGCAGTGCCAAAAAATCAGCCTCTCTTTCAATGTCAGCTTGAATTCAAGAGCTTTTGTTTTTCCCACGTTCTGCCAGGAGACTTCTTGCAATATTTGGCACTGCTGCTTTATCAGTGTATGGCTCGAAATTGGAAAGTAGAGAATGAAACTTTAGCTGCTCTTTCAGGCACTGCAGAAAGGAAGCTGAATCAGCCTGAACTTCCAGAGACTTTTATGAAAGTTTGGAAAACTATGGTCATTTTCTTTCCTTATGGTCTTTTCCAAAGTGACTCCTGCCCGTTCAGCTCCTGGCTACCCTGGAACCAGGGTAAAGGGAAGGGTCTGTGTGGGGGTTTCCCTGCCCAGCCCCAAATCGGTAGTTCAGAATTTCTCACTGATTTTTCCTCACATGAGTTATGTTCTGAACAGAATGAAACCCCTCAAGCCCGGGAGGCGATTGGCCAAGAGCAGCTGCATCAGCCCCATTTCAGCACCAAATCTGATCTGCAAATCCCCACTGTGTGTTTACTGCCTGTGACTGATGACAGTGCTGTGCTCTCTCAGAGTACATACACAAGGTCCTGCTGCCCCTCCTCCAGCAGCACCCGGTACTGCTGGATCTCCTGCTCCAGGCGGGTCTTGATGCCCAGCAACATCTTGTACTCCTCGTTCTGGCTCTCCATCTCGCAGCGGATGCTGGCCAGCTCCTCCTCCAAAGGGCTGATCATGCACTGGATCTGCTGCAGCTGCAGGTTATAGCGACGTTCCGTGTCCTCCAGGTTGGACTGCAAAGAGTCGACCTGCGAGGGCCAAACAAAACGCAGCGTTGGTGGGAATGTGGTGACTTTGACTTATTTTCATGGAAAAACAGGAGATCTTCACAAACCAGAAAAAAAGTGTGTCTTTGCAGATAAGTTACCCAGTATCCCATTCCCCTCAGATGGATTTACCCTGCTGGGTGTAACCCTTCTTCCCACACACACACTGTGTCACAGGTGGAGCAAGTGCCTTTCCTTACCATGCTGAGCTGCGACTGCAGCTCAATCTCCAGGCTCTGATATTCACGTCTCAGCTCAGAGATCTGCTGGTTGCTTGATTGTATCTCCTGACCACTTGAGTGGACTTGTTGATTAACTTCTTCCATCTGAAAAACGCACATACAAAATTGAGGCATTTTTGATAACAAGAAGACATTGTATGGTTATCACAAAAGTACTGAGAAAGCAATTAATAAGAATTAAGACGCAATGCAGACTCTTTGCTTCCCTCAAGCCACTGTGCCAACACCCTGTGTAATTCTCCTGGCTGCTGGAAGACAGAGGCTCCATGTGCTTTACCACATAACCTGATACTCCAGGACTGACCTGTTACAGGAAACTGCTTAAAGTCATTTAATGTCCCTTAAATAACACTTTTTGCCTGCTGGATGTGGAGAGGTCCAGTGCTTTGTGAACGATCCAATACTCAAACCTCCCGTGCTTTACCTTGGTTTCGTACCAGCTCTCCACCTCCTTGCGGTTGTTCTCAATGAGCCTCTCGTACTCGAAGCGCATTTCGTTCAGCTTCTCCATCAGGTTGATGCCGGGAGTGGCGTTGACCTCCACGCTCACATCCCCACCAGACTGTGTTCGCAGTCCTTTCATTTCCTGGAAAAAAACCACAGGACCCCGTGAGGTTCTCAAAGGGTGAAGGTTAAGGAGAAATGGTGTCGTTTCAAATAAGGGGAAGGAGAGGGACAGAGATCCTCACACAGCCCATGGCTCCTGCAAAGGGGGCCTGTCTGCCCTTGCCATGGAACAGTTCAGCCATTCCTGAGGCTCCAGTGCTCACAGCCAGGCACTGTGACACTTCGCAGTGACCCTGAAGTGTCCTCCAGAGGGTCATAAGGAATCCTGTTCAGGGTGCTCTTTGTGGGAATCTTTTCTCCTCCGTGGGAAATCTCACTGCAGAGAGTATAAATACTTTCTTTTCACTCCTCAATATATTCTATCCAATTTTCCTTCCGTGACTTCAGCAACCAGATTTTACTTTGTACTGAAAGTCACTCATTCCTCAGTTCTCATTTTGCCAAGCAGTGACCCATGTGTCTCATTACATCAGCTGTGGGCAGCTGTGGACACTACACACTCCTCAGAATCAAAGCCAGGTTGTGTCAAGTTGAATGA